AAAATCTTTTATTTGTGAGTCAGAGGATAAGAAATGACTGAGAAGCTGTATTCCTTGTCACCTTTTTTTTGCTTTTTACTGGGATGTCTGTGGTCTGTAAATCCTGTGAAAAATCTGTGCTCTTTGTGTGGCTTCTTGTTAAAATCTGGTTTCTTAGAAAATGCGTGTTTTGCTGGGCAACAGGTCAACCCAAGTAAGGACTGCTTGGTGCTTGCTTATTATCTGTTCAGTTGGTAAACTGTGGTAGTGCTTTGGTCTATAAATGCTCCATGCTTCCATCTTCCTGTCAGTGCAAAACATAGTGGTGTAGCTTGGCTGAACAGGGTTGGCCCCACTGTTTGAAGACATGTGACTCAGCTTTGCGTGAGGAAGTTCATGTACTGATAACAGCGTAGCTCTGGCAGACCACATGCTGCCATAATTAAGCACTGACTAATACAGGCTAGGATGGAGCCAGCTGTGCTCAGCTGAAAGTATATCCCATGGAACTGGGAGCTAGGGAAAGGACACTCTCTGCAGCATGGACCTATTCTGCTTATGAAATGCTCTTGCTCATGCATCTCAAGCTTTAGGACCTGAAATAGCTTCCTGCACAGGAGGTTGGTTTCCTGACTGTTTTGAATTTTGACCATCTTTAAGAATGGATTGTTTGACACCTTTTTTTTAAGTGCATTTTGTAAGGCTAGTGGAGCTGCTTGGGCATACAGAGTTCTCTTGTAGGGATGTGATGTGGTCACATGGTGTCTTACATTACCTTTTGTTGTTCCATGATTTCTAGAGAATTTGCCTTGTACTCCCTGTCGTTTGCATCTTTAGGATTAAGTTATTTGTCTGGCACATTTGGAGCTGATTTTGAAAGCTCTAGACAGGGGGAGAGGAGACAGGGCCAGCTGTAACAGAGCATACAGGAGGGGCATTACCAAACTGTCAGTGCCTTGGAATGCAAAAGCTCCCAGTTGCCAGATCTCTCAAATTTATTATACTGAATGTAGCTATGGCCTCAGCTGGAAAAATCTGTTGCCTTCATGTCATCTGGGTGGAAAAGAACACACAGCATGCATATACCTTTACTTGCACAATGCCCTTGCATCAATGATAAGGTAGATGTTCAAACAAGACAACTGGATTCTGGTCATAACTCATGTCTGTTGTTATTTTTATGCCTCTGAAAAACTGTTACTTCTATCACTCCCTTCTACCACTGTAGTGGAGCTGAGTTTTCATTTATCTCCTTTACAGGAAAATAACTGAAAGCTTGTCAAGGTCACTCCAGGGAAGGGACCACTAAGATAAAACAAGATGCTATAGCTCCTATGCCATGGCATAACTGGAAGAGTGTGTGTGTGTATATCTTTCCATCATATGGCATGTGCATGAGCAGTTCATGGAGGTGGCTTCTTGCACAACCTGATATATGGTGGGAAAACATTGGATTCTCAGTCACATAGCAAGCTTTTTAACTCACAGTGGTGAGCATGCAATGCCTTCTCCAGAGGCTGTGCAGGGTTCTAAGCAGAAGTTCTTGGTAATCACTGAATGAACCAGTCAAGTCTATCAGCCCAGTGACTCATGTCTTCAGGGTCAGAGATTAGACAGTTAGTCCTCAGGGATGACTTAAGCATGGGACTTGTTTCATTTGGCCAGACTCTCTGTCCGTTGGAACATAGAAACATGCCTGTATACATGATTTAAAAAAATTATTATGGAGGGCACTTGGTGTTGACCCTTGTATTTAGATGGCCCACCATTTTCCATACAAAAATTGTGACCTTTCAGTAAGGAACTCTTAAAACTTCCATTGTTTGCATTGCACTGTTGACATTTGGTAGGCGAAGCACCATCGGAGAACAAAGTGCCTTTTTATGTTCCACTAAAGTAGATTCAGCTTTGAAGGAGATATACACTGTTAAAATGAACTAGTTCTTTTTTTCCCTGCTTCCATTCTTCAGGAAAATTCTGGCATGCTACCAGAAAAAAGTGCCTCCAGTGCTGGATCTGCTGTAACTGTTGCAGCAGCGAGGACAAGAGTCACGGTGTTAGGAGCTGTCAGAGCAGCTGTGGCAACAGCAGAGCCTTGAAGAGCCCAAGGCGCATCCTACTGCCTCATGGTCATGCTGCTTTCTTCCAGGGATTTTCATGGAGTCGGAAGCCCTTTCCCAGCAAACCTCAGTTCAGCAGTTAGCCCCTGTTTTGTCTGTTCTTCTCTCCCAAGGAGGTCCTTCCCTCTTGCCTCTTCAAACACCCACAACTCCTAGGCAGAAAAGTGCATGGGTGGATGTAGCCTATTACAGTAGATGTCAAGCCTGTGCTTGCTGCTTGCTGCAGCCACAGGATTTAGTGATCTTAAGTCTGTCATCTAGGAAATTACGTACCTCCACCATCTGCTAGGCAAGGAGGCAAACCTGCCGCCTATCATAGAGCTGGGTCAGACCACTTGCGTTCCATGTTACCACCAGCATTTTGTCAGCCACAAGAAGTTAAACACACAAGACAGGATTTCCTGTTGGTGTGGAAACCCTGTGGGGGGAGCTCAGCCCAATGGGTCTGGGAGGCAGTACTGGTAGTACTACCTGGGGATCCAGGCCCAGCTGGGTGTGCAGAAAAGGGAATATGGGATGGCATAATTGTGCACCAGAAGCTGCACGGTTTGTTCACTTTCAGGATGATTCTGCTGAGGTAGAATGGTGATTTTGGCTTTGAAGATTCTGAAAATAATTTTGGCACTTGCATTTATCGAGAGGCTGACTGTTTCAGTGTGTGTATGGCAACGCTAGCCAGCTGAGGTGATGTGGCAGGGGACAGATCCTGCTCTCAGGCAGGGTCTGCTTTCTGCTCCCTTGTGCTTCTTAGAGCCCTATAGCTCACCTGACCCTTTAAGCCACTACAGATCAGTAAATTGTCAAAAAAAACTTTGTATTTATTCCTTTTGTTGGATTAGGTTTTTAGTGAATCATTGAGCTGTATCAGTTTATCTACAGGTGAGAATGAAAACTGAGACCATCTCTAGGAGGCTGGTGAGACCAGACAAGGAAGGACAAGGGAGCAGAGACAGCTATTCAGCAGCCACAAGCTTTTAAATTGGTTCAGCCCATGTCATGTAATGACGCTGGAATAGTCTACCAGGAAAGCAATCATAACTGATTTCTTTCATGGCAGTGCCCAAGCCATATGCAACAAAGACAATAAAAAGCAATCAACGGTTAATCTTCTTTATTGACAAACCTACACCAAGCGTGGGATAGAAATAGAAAATGTATTTTAGCGGTGATTGGCACAGCCGCAGTCAAAAGAGGATCCAGCATGGATCAAGCCTAAGCTATTGAGATGTTGAGGTTTCCTTTCAAGGAAGATGCGTGTTTACATTAGCATTATTCAAACTTCATATAACGTAGAATATTGTGAATTCAATTGTTCTTGGGATGAATAGAAGATCAAGTATTGTCCTTAAACAATAGAAGAGCAAAAACAACATCTGTGAACCAAGATCTCCTTTTTAAGAATGAAGAATGGAAGCGGACAGAAACTATAGCTAAAATTATTGGAAGGGCTTTGCTTGCTTGCAGACAGTTGTGGAATACTTGTTCAAGGAACTTAATAGCTTTTTGTTGCTTTACATACTCAGAACTTCTCCTCAGCCATCATGGCTCCCTGTTACAAATGTTCCATATTTTCAAATCTAGCCATGAACCTTTCAAACAGGACTCCCACAAAATGAGTATTATACCCATTTGACTCTGAATGCAAATGTTAATTAAAAAAAAGGCAAATACTATATTAAGAGCAACAGGCAAAAGGGAGAGAGAGTGTCCCAGTGCCTGGAGGCTGTGTTCATCACCTTTATTTTCTTTCTGACCCTTCCTTTATATGCTACCAAACTTTTGCAAGTAGTGAGATCAAAACTATGTCATTGGAAGCTTTCCTAAAAAATGGGATAGGAAAAACACTCAGATGTAGCATTTGTCTGAGCACAATATGTCTCTCTAGAATGAAGACTACTTTTATACATGGCTCCTGAAAATGACATCTAGACCTGTGTTTCTAGAGAGAAGACCTCCATTGTGGAAATAGAGCCATGACAATTCTTGAAGACAGAGCATTGTGGGCCTCTGATTTTAGCTCTAGGTTACTGGTTTGAGTCTGGCCACTTCAATAGAAATATTTTAATATGTTTCAAGCAAGATGAAATGTAATTCCACAGAGGTGGTAAATCTCCTTTCTACCATGTAACTCTTGTTTTCCATTTTGTGTTCTGTGCTAAATAGGGAGCTCTTTTGAACCCATTTATACAGAGCAAAGCTCTCCTTAGGGTCTCCAAGCTGAGACAGAGGTCAGAATTCTGTCACATGTGGTAGACTTGCACAGGCCATCAACATCATGTCACAGGTTGAAGCTGAATTATCTTTTTTCTGAAAAACAAACTGTTGGGAGTTTGCCATTTTTGTGGTTTCTGAATCTGCCATCAATTCTTTTAAAGGCTTGGAGTTTTGGTAAATAAGAGGAAAGGAGACTCAGAGTTTGGAATCTCTGAGGTTAGGATGTTATGCTACTATCCCTTCCAGAGGAACGTCATTGTTAGGTTTCTCTTTGTGATAACCACTTCAGGAGGAAGCTGAAATGCTGAATTACATGTTAGAAATGTTGTTAGATGCCTGAGATGAAATCATATATCCATGTTGTAGACGAAATAGTAGAATGAGGGAAGAAGGAATTGTTTAGGTTAAAAGCAGGAAAGATGAGATGCCTCAAATCCCTGAAACTCTTCTGGAGATTGTTTTTCTTCCTGTAGACTTTTGTGAGAAAACCTGGGGTTTGTTACCAAGAGGATCTGCATGTCTTAACCCAAGAGAATTGGGTCACGTCACTGGGATTTTATTCCTTTGCCTGTATGCTAGAAATGGAAATATTCTCACCTCCCTTCTTGCACTAAGCCAGGTCCAAAAAGGTAGAAAAAATGAATTGCCAAAAATAAATCTTTTTCTTTCCCCCTTGTCTCTCTGCAGCAATTCGGCAAAATCCTTGATGTAGAGATAATCTTTAATGAGCGTGGCTCGAAGGTAAGTCCTGTTTCTGTACCCGCTTCTCTTGATTTGATTGCAGAGTAAAAGGCAGTTCATTGCCTAGAGAATATATTCTGTAGAGATCAGCAGGAATTAGTGTGATGGGGGAAGGGAAAAGCTATTTTGGGGACTGTCTCCTGTTCCCTCTGACTGGAGACTCTGAGCATGGTCAATTCTGGGCAGCATGTACAAATGCTCCTGGACACTCCTGTCTGTAATGTGTGATCAGGTTCCACAGCCTTTTGAACAAACAGGGAGTCGGTCAATTGAGCCTTCATACCAAGCTGTTCCCATTGCACTAGCAATGGCTGCCCTGTGGGGAAGGCAGAATAAGATAAAGCAACTTTGTGTGATGGGAGACTGTAAGAAAAAAGGCTAACTCACCCCCATCCCCCCATTTCATTGCATTAAAATACTTCCGTAGAAAACTGTCATATCTCATATGTGAAAGGATTTTATTTACTCTGTTTTATAGACTTACTCGGTGCTTCTGAGACACTGACCTTTCATGTTTGAGATATTTGATGCTTAATATAAGTATCCTCATTCCACTTGCCCTGCCCCATGTGGACCTCCCCCACAGAATTTGCATTCACACACCTATTTTCATCTTACAGATATTTTAAGAGGGAGGTTTTGTTGAGGGTTAATGGTAATTTATCTCTCTGAAGATGAGATTTCAGATGTTGCTTAGGTCAGCTGCAGAGATATTCAGTGATCTCTGTCCTAATTGGCAATTGGTTCTCATCACATAACCGGTATCACCACAATGACAAATTGATGTGATTCTCTCTCTGCCCAGGAGGTTCAGCACTGGAATAGCAGGGAGTTTTGCAGGTCAGGAGCAAGGTGCATTGCCAAAGCTCTATGGGGGAAGCTTGCACAGTGCATGTCTATACTCTGCTTGACTTAATCAATGCTAAGATTCCCATTTTCAATTAAAACAAAATTTCCCTCCTCCCCACACACACGTGTGTGCACATGTGTGCATGCACACAAGAAGTTTTGAAGTTGCAAATCAGCTAAGCAGTTTCAGTTTACAGTCTATGCCTTTTGCTTGGATTTGAGGTTCACAGTCTTTATGGTGGCCTCTTTGCTTCAACATATATTCTGGGGTATGTTCATGTTCAGAGTCCTCTGCAAATTTCCACCCATGTTGCCCAACATGCATTCTGAAATTCTTCAGTCTCTGTATTAGCTGGAAACCAGAAAGCCGTTGATCTCTATATTAAATAAAGGAGTTAGCCCTTTTCCCATCCTTTATTTGTGCTTAATACCATGATTTTCTTTCGTTTTGATTTTTTACAAGACAGTCTGAAAAAGTAAATATCTATATGATTTAGTTAGAGTGTTTTTCTTCCACGAATGGATGAAAATCTGTACGCTTTACCAAAACAATCAGCTGTGCTGAGTTTGTAAATATTTATTCTGCACTCTACTGTTCTTTTGATATTTATAGGCCAAAACTATCTCTGAATTACTCTTGATTTTAGTAAATTTTGTTTGGCTTTGGGAATAGCCTCTGACCTCTATCAAATCTCTACTTATTTGGATATTATTGCAAAAGAAAGAACAAAAGTAACTGGCCTGGCAAAGGGGTGAGCTCCATCTTTCATACCCCACTGCCTGTGCCTTCCAGAGCAGTGTTTTTCCTCTCCACACATGAACTTCACTCACTCTCTCCCATCCATACAACCCTGTGTATTAAACACCCACGGCTGCCCTTTCCCTTCCAGGCAACATTGACATTGAAGACTTTTCTGTGAAGTCTTGATTTATTATTACAAAAAGTACCTTCTTGTGCAGTTGCTAAAACCCAAGGCTTCCGGTTTTCAGTTAAAACAAAAATTACTGCTGAAGAGTTCCATGACAAATTTTATCCTGAACCCTTCATAAATATTTGGGGGAAAAAAAAAAAAAAGCAGAGATGTTCTTCCAGTCCTTGACCATGCAGTTTTCTACTGCTTTTTTGTCATCTTACAGCAAAAAGCAGTTACAAACCTGGTAGCCTGTATTGAGGGATGGGGCAGAATCTGAACAGAATGAGAAAACAGCCAAAGCGTTATTTCATGGTATCTCTGCATCCTTCCCTACCCAAAGTAATTCCTGTTTTAAAAAGAATGCAAGATTCTTTCTGCTTAGCATGAAAATGGGAGGCCCCAGTGTTTGAGTGGGGTATAGCTGCACGAAGCACCTGGTATTCACATAATAATGGAAAAACAACAGTTTGGTGATCTGATGGTGAAGCAAAGGAAATGGATCTTTCTGGAGGCCGCTCACTCACTCTTGGGTTCTTCCTCCACCTTAGGAAAAAAAATTCTGAATGCATTTTCCTGCCCTGTGGTTTCCATTCTAATCTAATGATATGAAACCTCTCTCTCTTCTTCTTCTCCTCCTCTCTCTTGGGAATCCGAAAGCAGATGCTCCTGCTGCCTGCCTTGTGCTGTGTTCTCAATGCTCCCTTCCCTTCCCCGGGTTCCTAAGGGTTGTAGAGTTTTGTGTATATGTTTTGTAAATATTTAAAAGGTACAGTGGTGAATCCCAAACTGCCCTGGGTTCGTCCCCACCCAGCGTGCGATGGGGTCGAGCAGCGCTTTGTCCCTGCCAAGCTGTAGCAGGAGAACTCTGCTGGGATCACTCCAGTGCTGGTCGGTAGGAGGGACTGAAGGAAGCGTGCTGGTTGCATTCTTCCTTTTGAATCCACCTGAGATGACTGGGCAGTTTTCTTCGACAGCCTGGGGGAACTATCAAACTGGCTGCATATTCAAGATCTCTGTGTACTTAGGAAGCTTGGTGACCAAAGAGAGAGAGCAGAGTGTGTCCACCACAGCCTCAGGTTCTCTCAGAAGTGTTATTTGTTGATTTTCTGTATCACAGCAGAGTAGGAGGCAGTTAATAATTAGTTTTGCTGATTGTTCTTTCAAAGCAATGTGAATTCTTGTTTTGTAACTCAATTTCTTCCCAGATTCAATCTGATCAGTAGGATTATATGGGCCCTGGCAGACTTTACACTTATATTGCTTTGTTGTGTATGAGAAAGAAGGTACAAACTTTAAACATCCCTTGAATTTCATTTTGTTTTATTCTTGTTTAATAGAATGACATCAGTCTTCCCTTGATCTGTTTTGGTTTTTTTTGCTTGCTTCCAGGAAACTAGCTGTTTGTTTAATTTATCCTGTTTACCATTACATTTCTAGTTCTGACTCGGATCAAGTGCCTTTAAATAGCATTCTGCCCATGGTTGCAGTTTACCATGCACTTCACTGAACCGTGAATAAAACACCTCTAGAGGAAGTTGAGAGGATTCCTGCTCGTTTTGTTAGTGGAGATGCATCCTCTAGATGCGTATTTTATCACTATTGTGCTGAACTGAACAAGTAGACATATTTGCAGAATTAATGCAGTCTGCCTGTGTAATGAGTACCCTGTGGCATTCATAAAGCTGCAGGGGAAGGGAATCCAAGCTCCTTGCTCATCAGCTGTGTACCATGTGGCATTCCAAGATGTGTCCTCGATGACATTCAGAGACCAAGAGTGCATAAGCACATAGCAAAATCTAAGCTGAATAGGGAGCTTTTTTTTTTTTGTAGCTTTTTAAATTATAAGAGTTCATATCAGTGCAGATGAGCTCATGGTTTCGGGATACTTTAAGTTTGTCCCTCACTGCTTTCCACTTGGAAGATCCAGATCTCCAAGTTCCTGTATAGGACTGAACTGACTTGAAGTACTTCATATTTAATTAAAAACTTAGTTGTATAGTAGGTTACATCTATTGGCGTTTGGATTTATGTAAGTAAACCTGTCCTAACTAAAAGCTTGTGCAGGAAGCTGTGTGGGATTTTATGTTTGCAGTTAACTCTAAGTTAAGATAAAAATATGAATACAGGTTTTGATAATTAAGCCTTAAAGACTGTATGCTTGCATGTGCATTTACTTCTCTTTTAATGGATTAGGTGCTTTGAGTTGAGCCACTCTTGTTCTGGGCCTAGTTTTCCGTCAGTGGAAAGCCCCTTCTTACATAAAATGAATTAGAGGTCTTATTTTCATTTTAATTCCATTTTTATAAATTTTGTTCAGATTTCATCAGTTGAGCCAGAAATACAAATTGTGTTGTTAACACAAAGAGGCTTAAAAACAAATTAAGTACTGGCAACCAGCGTGACCTTCTCAGGTCACCAAATCCCGTTAGAATGCCAGTGGCATGAAGGAGACATGACTGGTGTCCCCTTATCCTAGTTCACTGAAGTAGTTTTATGCCTTGAAGTCTGCAATACTAAACCAACGAGTTAAATTAGTCCATACGCCGAACTGGTTTATTTAAACTTGAATTTCAGTATGAAGTTGATGTTTTCATAGTATAAGCTGCCTTACTGCTCCTGTGGGAGCACCTTCCCAGTAGTGCTCGTTTCACTGTGTAGAGAACTGAATCTAGGGTGCTAAATTGGCAAAATACTGATGCAACAGGAAGAGAGAGAGAAATAAGCTTGTTTTCAGCCAGTTTAGCCTGTTGAACTCACAGACCACACAGTGAGATCCACGATTGATTGAAGGGAGGAGGAGCAGCACACAGCCGGGGATGACGTGGGCCGTGAAGCCCCTGACCTGGGCTGGCTGAAGCTGCCCTGAAGCCCCAAGCTCTCACTGCACAGCAGTGCTGGCTGGATTCCTGTTGCCCACTGCCAGCCTCTGCCCCCTCCTCTGTTCTGCAGCAGGGATTGGCAGTGGAGCGACACAAACTGGACTGTAGTAATGATACAGCTTAAAAATAGCCCTGCAGGTTTTTTTCGAAGATACATTTACATTTTTTTTAGCCAGATTAATTCCTGTATCTGCCGCACCAGATCACACAGGTACACGGATGGGTGTTTTACACGTATGCTTTAATGCACTCGAAGTGAGGCACAGGGCAGGGAGGAGCTGGAAGAGCTGCTGAAATGGTGGCAGCTTGTTTTATGCTGATTCTCACCAACTGAAGGGTGCGTTTGTGTGTGTGACTTCAGTAACGTGGTTTCTGGATTTTTTGCTGTGATGCTGTCGGTGCATTCAGTCCTGCTCATCTCAGGTGGATTATAGCTGAAACCCTCCTAATCTTTCCAAATGTCTTGCAAACAGGTAGCCTAAACTGCTGCCTCTTTGGCCGTTTTTTTCAGGCTTCTAAAAGTTTGTTTATTATGGAAATAAGGGAAAAGAAACAAAAGAAAAAAACTTGGTTTGAACCAAGCACAGCAGCAGATGACAGCAAGGCTGGTTGCTGGCTGTGTGCTCCAGTGGTACAAGGCAAAGATGCTGCTGCTGGGGTAACTGGTCTAAACTCCATGACAAACAAAGGGATAACAGTGCATGGATTTCAAGGGGCTCTGTTTAGTTTTCTTTGGTTTTATTTTTTTATTTTACTTTATTTTATTTTTGTTGTTGTTTTTTGTTTAATTTCTGTGTTCTGGCCACACCCAGGAGAACCGTCTGCTTTTGATTTCTCCCTTTACGGTTACATGGTAAATTTTCTTTCTCATTCTTCAGAGATGGAAACGTTCAAATACTATATATACATTTATTATTTTTTTTTCACTGCTCATCATGTTGCTTGTTATTTATTGCAGAGTCTGAGGCCAGACTAAAAGGGTGGCAGTTACTCGGTCTCTTCAGGCCCTTTCAATAAACCTTTGGGTAAAAAGGGGTTAGTCTGGTACTGCAAATTACTTACTAATCCTAAAACTGTTGTTGGAGTTTAGTGTTCACTGGGTCAAACTTATTTTCTGCTTGGGAGAAGTTCCTGGCAGTTACTGATGGGGAGGAATTGTTGAAAATTTCAGCCTTGTTATCATAACAGCATTATTAAACCCAAGCTATTTGTATAATCTAAATTTTAGAAGCCCTAAGTCTTTTTTTTTATCCAGGATCTTCCCTTCCTCTGGCTCCATACCTACTACTATGGAGCAATCCAGTACCTGTTATAAAGCTAAGCTAGTAAATATTGGATACCTGCCATCTCTTTTTTTTCCTTCCTCCTTTCTTTCTTTTTTTTCCAAGGTCAAGACAACCTTGAGGAGGGAAAACTGAGAATTGTTTGTTGTATATGTGTAGTTACAAATTAATCCCTATTCTTTACAGGTCATCTATGAGAAGGAAAAAAAGTATATGTATGTGCTTTTTTCTCTCCCACATCAAAAATATGTGTATATATATATAATTGCTAGTTTTTAAACTTTGAAATAACAAAAATGTCAAGCATGGCTCACCTGTTTTTCCTGATGAAAATTTGAATGTGTAAGAGATGCATTAATATGACAAACCAAGAGGGCACAAATACTGACTCTGCCATAGTCAACTATATAAAGCATTAATTCAGCATTGACATTAAATGGTTCTCAACAAAGTGAGTTGCTAAGGACTGATCTGTCAATATGGTTAATTAGTTATGTTGTTCTGAATCAGATTAATTCTGGTTTAATTCACATTGTTAATTATATTCCTATAGTCTGCATGTGGATTGTATGCTACCTTGAGTCAACTTAATAAAAATACTGAAAATTCCTACTCAGTTTAAAGATAATTAATGTTAATGTAGTTTTTTAAAAACCCATACAGACTTCACTAATTGCAAGCAGATGTGAATTAAAATAGTCTTAGCTTGGTTCTAGCCTGCACAGCTTAATGTCTAAAAAATTACCTTCCATCTGCACTCCAGCTTTCAGTTCACATCATCACCGAAGACATAAATTTCATTCAGTCTCCACAGGCTTGTCTAGAACAAACAGAAATTTTAATGTAAAAAGAGAAGAGGGAAATAGAGATTCGTGTTGCAGTCCTTACCTCCCCTCCTCCTCCAGCCTTTAGAAGATACTTTTCCCCCATTATACAGAACCAGAGGGAAAGGTGTTGCTCTGTTTCTCAGGCTTACCTTTCTCTGTAGGGGTTCTTTGAAGCAGACACAATACCCTATTCCTTCATAATCAGCTTTGCTATTACACCCCCTGCACCCCCTTTGGTTCTCTGTGACATATTGGAGAGTTATATGCAGTTGGACTGTTTTATTAGCCTCTGTGTCTTGTAGCTCTTATTTTAAATCATTTAAAACAGCGAACTTTTATGCTGTTCTGAAAAAGGCATCAGTCTGATATTTATATAGCTCCTTATTTATAGCTGGAGAAATGAAATTATCTGAAGCTGTAGATTATTGGGTTGGAGCCCAAAGGAGCACTCTTGTTGATCTCAACATTGCACTACTTGGCTAAGTTCTTTTATTATTGCTGTTTGAGGTTTGGGGGAAGTTAAAAAAGAAAAACCAAACCACCCCCCCCCAAAAAAAAAAAACCCCAAACCAAACAAAAAAAAACAAACAAACAACAAAACAAACCAACAACAAAAACAACCCCAACCCTCCGTTTTACAAATGTGTAAGAGTTTTGTGCTGGAAACCTAGCTGTGGGTTGTAAAAGCCAGCTTGTCAAATGGCTTGGACTGTTTGATTAGTATTGTAAAGACCTTTAAAAAGCACTTGAAGAATAATGGCTTGCTTGTGTGTCATTGCTAACAATGCTTAGAAATCATTATGCTGTTTGTTTTTTGGGGTGTCCAGTCCATACATATGGGACCCCAAGGTGCATGGAGGAGGCCAAGTGGCTAGCATGCCATTTCCCTGACAGGCATAGCTGTAGATCACTCTCATCACTTTGCTTTTCAATGAACATTGTGAGTTTCCATTGCATCAAATGTAAGCTTTGTTGTTCTGCTCCTGAGGGTATTGAAGCTAGTGGAGATTAAACCAGTACATTAAATCAGTATTTGCTTTATACCAAGCCACAGGAACCAATTACTTCTGTTCTTAAGATACCCTAAAAGCAGAATGCAACAACATTTTTTGTTTGTTTCTGCTCTCTGTAATGGCATGAAGAGTATCTCATCACAGTTGTCCTTATTAAGATGCCATTTGTTACTAGTTAAAATCCTAATTCACTTAGTCATGTTGACTCTCTTTTTAATGTCAGTGCATTCATCTCTGTGGAAGAAAGCATGATCTCTTACCCTGCCCTGCTACACGACTGCACGAGTTGGCAGCAGCATGAGCATGTAGGACAGGCGTGTTGTGTGTGCTTTCATGGATGCAGTAAACCTAAATTCGTCCAGCTAAAGCGATGTTTTGGCAGTCCTTGAGCCTTTGTGGTTGTGCCAAGCAGGGCATGTCAATTTTTCTGAAGCTTTCTGGTCTAACTAGGCAGAGATCTGTTGCTATCCACAGCCCAGAGGTTGCCATCTCAGAACAAAGCCAAGTAAGGTGGGTAGCAGGGTAGAAGGGAGGTAACAGTGGGTCAGCAGTGTCAGACAAAACCTGCCTTGACCGATGAATTGGTATTTAGGTGTTTAGATTTACAGTCAAGTCCAACACAGTACTCAGAGATGACACTACAGTATGTGATACTCTAAATCTTCACATTAAGTAATGTTATTTGATGGTGCCACCTAGAAGCCCTGCTTACTTTCAGGGTCTCATATACCATTAGGGAGGTTACAGGCTTAGGAGTAGACATGAGCTGTGCCCCGAAGAGCTTACAAGGGATGCTCTACAAAGAGCCCTTCCTCTCAACAGTGTTCTAAGGTAGGTAATTATTATTGTCTCCATTTTACAGGTGGAAAAAGCAAGGTTCAGTGTTTGATTTGCCCAAAGCTTCGCAGACTTCCCGGTGCCAGGCATGAACTCAGATTGCTGCTTGCTCTTGTAGCAGTTTCTCAAGAGAACAAAGTGCTGCTCAATGTCCTGTACTGTGTTGGGGTGGGTGGGGGTCCTGCAAAGCATGTGTTCATGCAGAGGGGAGAGAAGCCCTGCTTGGGCTTGACCAGCTTGCCTATGTTGGAGCAGGGTTTAGTGTTTTTAAACAAAAAAAACCCAAACAAAACAAAATGAAAAATTGTCTCGAGTAACTTTGTACTTCTTTTTTGGTCTGGCCTCAATTGCTTTTATGTTTTCTTTTTTTTTTTAATTACTCTTATTATTCTTATTATGATTACGGTTCCTTTTTTTATTGAATTTAATTTCTTTCATTTATGAAACATGCATGAACCAACAATGTGACTCTAGGAGGTTATTGCTCAGTTGTGCTGATGTTGATTTCATACTGTGATATTTTTTCTCTATTTACCTAGAGATCAGTATTTCAATATATAACGATGTGCATGTTTTCCCCCCTTCTCCCGCTGCATGCAGGGATTCGGGTTCGTAACTTTCGAGAATAGTGCTGATGCAGACAGGGCCAGGGAGAAATTACACGGCACCGTGGTAGAGGGCCGTAAAATCGAGGTGCATGTCTTCAGTAATTCAATTTCTTCTTTATATTTATTCTTTTGATTTCTTTTTGTGTCTTGCCTCACTTATTTCACATTTGGATCCCAGTCTCGTGTGTGCGTGTGTGTTTGTGTCTGTGTCCTTCACCTCCCTGCACTGAAATGTATAGAAGTTTACACCCTTTACAGAATATTTTTATTGTTGTTTTGGGTATTTTTTTCTTTTCTTTCTTCTTTTATTATGTTTTATTCCCACCCACTCCAAATTTTTGCCCTTCTGCTGTCTTGATTTTTCCTTTGCTTCAGTTTGCGAGGCTCCGATTTCCTGTTACCAGGCCTGAACAAAACTAACTGAAAGAGTACTGTCCAACTTCTAACTCTGTGTCCAAAAAAGAAAGCAGGGGGCCAGTCAGTATCCTCTCTTTCCTCTGAGGCCAGTTCTCCTCCATGCAAGTGTGAGATGATGCCTGTGGTGGGGAGGGTTTGGGAGACATGGGGGCAGAAGCCCCAAGTGGGCTGTGTTATACACATTGCTGGTTTCTTGACCTGCCCATGGTCAAAAGTAGGCTCGGTGAAAGCTAATCCTTAAAGCTTCTAGCTCTCGCCGCAGGGGAGGGAAGGGTTAATGTGTGACTGGCCAACGTGGCCAGATGTTGGGCATGCCTGGTATTGACCGGTTTGGTGTTCCACTGTGTTGAAGGCTAACTGGCATCATCCGTCTCTCCCTCTTTCTTGAAAAAAAACCAAAAAACACAACAACAACAACAAAAAAAACCAACAAAAAAACCAAAAAGTAAGAATATTGAAACAGAAAAAGCCACCGTTTTTGAGTAAGATGTCTGCATATTTTGCTTTTTTTTTTGTTTTGTTTTTTTTATTTCCCTTTCCGATGGTTTAGCGTTTAGGGCCCTTCACTTGACTCACTCTTTCCATGGTAACTATACACAATGCTGGCGATGGTACGAGTTGGCGGTAAGTGAAACAAAAGTGCTAGAGAAGAAGCTTTTTTCTTTTTTTTTTTAAATTTTTCTTAAAATTACAAAAAAAAAATTAAGAAAGAAAAAATCCATCTGCCATCTCACATTAACACTACGAAATGTGATTTGACTTGTTGTCCCCACCCACCTCCTTCCCCCTTCTCCCCCTTTTATTTTCAATGCTGTTGAGTAATGCCGCCTGGACTTTGGATGTACATATTGTTTTGTAGCAGTCTGAGCTGTTTGATTACTGACTTCATGGTGATTTCCCCTTGCACATCTTACTCAGAGTTACTGAACTCCAGTTTGGCTGGTTTTTATTAATGCACCCATTTCCTCTTCTCTCTCTCCTGCCCCTTCTTTCTGCTGCTCTTTCTATCTGAGACCTGTTTGTAGCTGTTACTGTTTGTTTTCTCTCTTTTTGTTTCTTCCCCCCTCCCGAGTTTATTTCTTTACTAAGTTAAATGCAGCTGTTGGTCTCTTTGCTGACTGGTGGTTTCTGATCGGTTCTGGCAATTTTTCCTTTAAGTGCTTGTGTTGCACTTTGCTGTAGCAGCTGATTTCAGGCACTCGCTCCATCTAAATGATTGTTTGTGAGACCTTATCCCCTCACTCCTCCCCTCCCCACCCTCTGAATCAATTGTGGTGTTTTTTTTTTCTTTTTTTTTATCTGTGTGTGTTTAACTGCATGCTCTCAGTCTCATCATTGTTGTTTCCCATTCTCTCTTTTTAAATGTGTAATGTTTCTATTGTTTTGGGGCTGAAACAAGAGTAAAATGTAGCTCCCGACTCCCCACCCTGTGTACACTCGCCATCCATATGTCTCAAGGGCCCGAGGCAGCTTTTATTTTTATATCCACTTTTTTTCTTCTTCACCCTGACCTCAATTCGCATTTGGCATGGGTTTTGGTAAATTATTGATGATACATAAAGACTTCACCCTCCTTGCAGGAACTTTGAGGCTGTCTGACACAGGGCTGCAGTAACTTGGCTTCCAAACTAGTCCATCTTTTCTTTATCAGCACCATCTCTGTGGTAACACCCCACTTGCTTGAGCAATCAAACTGCTTGGAACTATACAGAGCTCTGCAAAGAGGGTGGAGGGCACAATAAAACCAAAAAAAGACCCAGGTCTGCTGCTATGTATTTCTTCTTTTTGCTCTATGAGATATGTGACAGGGAAAAAATAATCTGGAAAAAGATTTTAAAATTTTGGGGAAGAAATCAGTGAATATAGACCGTCCAAACAGTTGGTGGTGTTCCAGAGACTTCTTCAAGCCTTGGGAGTTCAAATCTAAAGCGGATGGACTCCAAGCTACCTTTTTCTATCCAAAAGCATGCCTGCCAGAGACCTGCTGGCCCCCAATTCCAGCAGTGAGCTTGAGAAACAGGTCGGTTTGTGTGTCACCTGGTTCAGCTCCCCTGCCCTGGTCTGCAGAAATTATTGCTGCCTCTTGAACAGAACCTGGACAAAACATCAAGTTTTGCCCTTTGGATCACTGAGCTGTAAATAATCCTGTGCCGAAGGATGGCAGGGCGGTGGAGAATCTGCACTTTACTCTCGTTGGCCTTTTATTTAATGCATAATTTTAAAATGCCACATTTAGCTGTAACTTTTATAATTAAATGGCAACTGTTAAAAGTAATTTAAAGATTGCATTAATGTAAAATTAATTTTTTTTGCTCAGAGAAGTATAGTGTGTGTGTGCGTGTGTGTGTATGTGTGGTATCTGAGTTTTCCACCATTTTCCCTAACGTCCTATGCTTCCTTCCCTCTCCTCCCCCTCCCCTTTCTTACTTTCAGGTTAACAACGCCACTGCACGAGTGATGACCAATAAGAAGATGGTCACACCTTACGCAAATGGTAAGAGAGACTGTTTGTACTATTGATGAGCTGAAACGTTTGAAGAAAGATGAAAGGGAAAAGTCACGACCTCTCCTCAGGACCAAAAGAAACCAACAAAACCCCACAAACCCTAATTTATTCTTCAGTATAACCTGAAAGTTTTTGTGGAGAAATACCATTTTCCAGATGGAGAAGTGGAGACAAAGAGAAGTAGGGATATGCCCAACATGGCCAAGCTGAGTAAAGATGCCAAGGAGTGATGAGTTGCCTGCCCTACTACTGCAAGCTGATGCTGTACAGTGGGATATGCAGTGCTCCTGTGTCTCATTGCCATCACATAGATACCTAAATATGAATGCAGAAGCATAACTTAAGATGCGTAATTAGCTATATCTCAGTTTAGGTTCTGTCTGTAAAACTACAGCTGTCCCCAAGCAACCAGGAAAACAGAGGCTTTGCACTGCTTGTGTGCTCTCTTTTTGTTACGGATTTTGCTTGTGTTCAGTAATTTTCTAGCGAACCTAAACAGAGAAAGACCAAGTTGTTTGGATAATGAAGAATCCTGTTTCATCGGGATATCTTGGTGGTTCTCTGTACAGTAATTTTATTGCATAGGCATATATAGCATAAAAAGTCATTCTCCCAGCAGAAATGAATGCTGCTTTGATAAAGATTTTGAATCTGAGTCTTTGTCCTGAAACAGGCAGGAAAGTCCTTTTCGGACTGAAAATGTTCCCAAACAGCTTCAGCAAGGCAGGAAACTGCGTACAGGTAGTTTGTTGCTAGTGTGAGAACCTTTTTTGATTATAACATAAGACTGTGAAGTCAGAAGATAAAAATTTTATATGTGCCTCTGCTGCTGACTTGTTGAGTGGCTCCTGGCAAATAAATCTTATTTTGAGTGCAGAGCTGGGGAAACAGAGCCAGGCAAAAGGGCTGGGATTCTGAGTCTCAGTACCTGAAAGGATTTTGTAGCAAAAGGCAATGCAACCGTGCTATATTGTCCTGAAAACAAGGGCATAAAGTGTCGTACATGTGACTGGTAACAAAACTTGACGTACTTGTGAAATTGATAAGAGGCAAGAATATTTTGCTTTTGCAGCCAGCAGTTAAAGCCAGCTTCAAAGCTATGCAAGGGTATTTAGTATTAGGCCAGGCTTAGGGCATACTGACAAGTGGGTGTACAACTGTTAGTAAGTTTGAGCGCTGATTCCCAATCCACTTGTTGCAGCCACTGGAGTATTTTGCCATCAAGGTGGGCAGTGCAGCAGAAGCCTGTCTGTTCTTATAGAGGGAGCTTGCACTGCATCTCTCACTGATAACCTGCCAGCAGATGAAGGGGTGGTGTTGATGGGCTGCAGTTCACAAAGTTGGATTTCTGGAATGGTTTGAGGTGTTAAAGTTCAGTAAGTGCACCAGGGCTCCAAGACAGAGGAAGGGTATGGATTTATTTAAATAATAAAGCCTGTGTGATTCCGAGCTGAATAGCTGAGGTCTTTCCTGAAAGGAATGCTTTGTGGAAGCTAACCAGAATATGTTGTTAGCTTTACACCCCTTCTTCTCCCCTATTGGAGAGATGGAGAGGAAAAAGGACAGATAGGTTTCTAGATCTGACTGGAAATATGTTCCTCCTCGTACCCATAGATTTTAACCCTATTCTCTTGTAGGGAATCATGTTATGTTGATGATTTGCAGTTCTTGCCAATTATCCAGATTATATTAAAATCAATTCTCTGTGAAGGCTTTCACCTGAAAAGCAGCACAAAGAAGACAGGAAATACTAAAATAACAGAGAGAAGAAAATGTGAGATGGACAGAATGCAAATTGGCTTTATGAACTATAGTTGTGTAATGCAGTTAATGAGGAAATTCAGACACTTATTTTTCAGCAGTTCTCTAGGAAACAAGACAGAAGGGTGTTTTGAGAATTCAAGGCTATAGGTTGACTTGCCTGAGATGACAGTCTGGGCCAGTGGCTTTAGAGAGGGCTTGGATCTGTGGTGTTCCTGGTAAAGGAGGGAGGAGTTGGCAGCAAGGTTCAGCAGGGAATGCCAGGTCGCATGGTGCTCACGGCGAATATGCGTATAAGGCAGTTGGCATTCCCTCAGCAGTGCCTCTGCCGTGCTGCGGATCAGCTGATGTTTTGCTGTTCCCTCTGATACAGCGACCTGTACCTAGAACTTGACATTAGAAAAAGGCAGTTGGCCTCCATCTACACCAAGGGGGATTGAGGCGAAGCAGAAAATGGAAAGAGCTATGCATGTGAAGCTGGGGCCGCATGCAAGAGACCGTTCCCCCTACCCATGCTGCCCGTTCCTTCTCTTGGTGTAGATTTTGGCATTCACTGCAGTCTTTGTTGTTTCAGGTTGGAAGTTGAGTCCTGTGGTTGGAGCGGTGTACGGCCCTGAGTTATATGCAGGTAGAGCTTAAGTAGACACTTCCACTTCTGCCATTTAACTGCAGTGGTGTTTGTTTATGTTCTTAATCTGCTGTTTCTTTATAACCTTTTTATGGTTTTGTTTTGTTTTTTTTCTTTTTTTATTCTTTTTAAAATTAAAATAGCGTCCAGCTTTCAAGCAGATGTCTCGCTCGGCAATGACGCCGCAGTGCCCCTCTCAGGAAGGGGGGGTATTAACACTTACATTCCTTTAATCAGTAAGTAACCCCTGTTGACCCCTGTATTGTTACTGTGCTTGAGTTAACAATGACCTGTTACCCTTCTTCTCTCCAGTCTGTATAATATATACTTGAAAGGATGGGTCTCGCTGGGAATGAGTTCACCTTGAACCAAAGTATACTGTGCAGTTGCTGTAACTTGTTCATCTGCAGTGTGTTGCTGTACTACTGAATGTGTCTTTCTGAACAACGAGGAAGCTGCAGAACAAGGGGAGGGTGTGTGTGAGCAATAGGCCATTCCCTTGCCCCCCTCCCCGCTTTAGAAATCGAAGAAACCAAACAGACAAATCCCTAAAGTACATATTATACAAGCTGCTAAACCGCGAGTCTGCAGGGCCCCTAGTGGCATGTACCTGGACGCACGTTGGGTTGGCTTTGGTTTGTGCCCTGGGACTCGTTCCCTCTCGGTATCTGATTATTACGTGTTTGCAGATGCCTGTGAGGTTTTACATCATTTCATCACGAGCCAGTTTACTCCAGTTTAAAGCATAATAATATAGGCATCACTATATGTGGTGCTGGTTATTGGTCACACTTGTTAAATGAAGTTGGGCTCTCAGTAAACTGGCACTTTATGGGAAATTTCTGCTGCTGTTATATGGGCTATCTTGTCTTTCAGGCTTTAAAATGAACATACAGAGGATTGGGTGGCAAAGAGTGGGAGGGGAAAGGAGGGAAGAGACTGATGTAAGTTGGTTGACTTTAAGGGCCTCTTGACCAATTATTTTAAAGAGCCTCTGCAGTTTTGGAAGAACCGCGTGCTGTATTGATAGTAACTCCCCGCGCTTCTCAGACTCTAACCAGACTGCATGGCAGTGTCAGAAGGTGGGGGGATTGGAACCCTGTTTGGGGTGGGTAAGGCATGCCAAAACATTAACCTCTTGCATGCCAAACCTCTCTGCAACCCTTCTCCCCCCAGAGGGCCATGGTGTAGAAGGAAGTCTGTATGGGATGCTTGCTGGGTTATAAGCATGTCCCTCTGCAGGATTGATGCAAAACGTCCCACTGCTGTGGAGCTATTGTGTCACTTTGTTTGAAGCAGGTGGTTGTTCTCTGGGAAAGACCTCAGATCCTTTTCACCTTCCACTTTGTCTGTCTTTACAGTTCCAGGCTTCCCCTATCCAACTGCAGCCACCACAGCAGCCGCATTTCGGGGCGCCCATCTGAGGGGCCGAGGAAGGACAGTGTATGGGGCAGTCCGGGCGGTACCTCCCACGGCCATCCCTGCCTACCCAGGGTAAGCACAGGTCACAAGAGCAGAGTGCTCTGCACAACTGTGTCAAATAGCTAATCAGTTAACAAAAAAAACCTAAAATTGTCTGGATGGTGAGAGTCAAGATATTGCTAGTGCCAGAGCATTCTGCACATGATGGAATCCAGTGGGGGCAAATCTAAATTTTTCTGTGTTGAGTTCTTGATTGAAACAATTTTCAGTACTTGTGACAGCTTCAAGCGCTGATGAATTCCTTCTCATAATTTCTCAATTTGTCTATGGGGCGTTTGTCATCCATTGACCCAAATGTTATAGTGCTGCTGAGAAGGACACAAAGAGATCTAAAATTCCTGAAAAGGTTCTGCTCTTTGCACTCCATTTGCGTTTTCATATCCTGGATTGAGGAATATTATCCATTACCTTCATGCCTCACCATCTGGCAGTAGGACACAGAAGAGCCAGTTACCCACAATGGATTTGCTTTCTTTGTTGGAGACGGTTTAAAAAGGTTTAAAACAAAGATTAATCAAGTCCATTAATTTAAAGCTGGGAGTGTTTGGGATGTAGGGAAAATAAAAGTGCAATGAAGCAGCAGCGAATGCATGGCCTTAGCATTCTTTGCCCTCAGACTTTTCACTAGTAATGCAGTGGAATAGATGCTGTTACAAAAGAATATTCCGCTGTTTAAAAGTACAGGGAACTAGGTCCGTATGTGAGTTTTGTTTGGGGTTTTTGTTGGTTTGTGTAAATGTGATGGAATGACAGATAAATCAGCAAATCCCTTCCAAACTGTCTTTTTTTTTGTTTGTTTCTGATTTTGAGGATACTTTATTCATATTGTCTCTGGAGTTTTACTTGCCATATTTTCCAGGCAATGTTCTCAGAAAGAACAGGAGTAGGAATGAATCCTCCGAGACAGAGAAGTGGACTGACCCTTTTTTTTTTTCTTTAGACTAGGCCCAAAAGGGAAGAAAATAAATCACAGGTCTTTTATTAAAAAGGAAGGTGGAATCCACACACATCAGTGCAGGGAGCTGGCCTGATAAACTTACGGTACCTTCTATAGCAGATTAAGTGGTGAGAGCTTCTGTGGCCCTTTCTTTTTAGAGTCCCATCTGATGTTTAAAGTGGAGCTCAAGGAAGCAAGCTGCAGTGGTCATGTATCTGCCAGATTTGCCGGAGAGCAAAGCTAGACAATGTATTTAATTTGCCAGAAGACTTTAAATGAAACCTCCTGCCTGAATGTTGGTCTTCTGAACAGTGTTTCTTCTGGGTTTTCAGATCCACCTCTTTCTTCTACCACTTCTAGTTCATGTTATCCTCTAACCATAACCTCTGACCTGCAACTTGTCTGTTGCTCTAAAAATGACCCAGTCAAGTTTTATTAGGAAGTACTCCACAGCTTAACAGAGAAGCAAAGCTGAGCTAAGTGCTGCCGTCTAGCAGAATATGAATTATTTGCACCAGGGAGAGGAAATGTGCTCTTCATCCCTGGGAGTAATGGCTAAGCTTTCCTAGCAAGAGACTGTCATGAGTGGGGCACTGGGAGGGCTTGTCTTTGATATAAATCCAGCCTGAGTCCCTGTAAAAGGTTTATTTCCATTTGGAATATGGACCAGGCTCCATTTATTAGCCATCCCAAATACTGTCTCATGTCTGTATTTACTTACATTACATCGAGTTTTTTTGACTGTGCTGACTGATTCCATGTCTTCATGGGCAGGACACTATGTAGTAAACATTGACAAGGGCAGCAGTAAGCAAGGCAGGTTCACAGATGGCCCAGGACTGTCCCTAGTCCAAGCACTGAGGTGTAATTAACTGCTGATGTTTTTTGTCATCATAGTCTGAGTCTCCAAAAGATATTTTGTAGACCAAATTTGTTTCCTAGTGGAATCATACAAAATGTACTATTCAATTCCATGTTGCAGTAACCTGGACAGCCACTGCTCCATGTGGTCAGGACCACTGTTGACCTCCATGGGGTCAGGGACAGGCACATGTTCCTGACACCTTGCCCTGCATCAGTTAGTTTCTTCTTGGCCAGTGGAAAGATGACACTACAAGATCAGTCAGCAACACATGAGTGACCAAGACATAGTGAGTAATGTGGAAGATGACGGTAAAGTAAGCTGCAGGTTAACTCAAACCTGGTGGAAGGAATTGGTTTTCACAAACCTCAGTGGTGTTTAAATTACAAAACTTAATGGTATCACTGCATTTGAGAGCTTAGCAGAATTTAAAAAATACAGAATATAGATTAATAAAAGCTCGTTGGTATTGCCATACTGGATCAGACCTGAGGACCATTCAGGTTAGAGTAAGTTTTGACAGTGTCAAGTGCTAGACCAGAGGAAGGTGCAAGAAATCATAGCTCTTAATGGTTTAATATTTATTTCAAGAACTCAAACTAAGATTTACCAATGTGTAATTGGAATTTCCATACTTATGTACGGACATGGATGTTTATCCAGGGAAGGCTATCCATACCTCAGAAAGCAGTTGCTTAGACTCTTGGAGATGGTGTTAGATAGTCACCTGAGCCTGACTTCGAATACAATTGCCACCTTCAGTTTATAACTGAGATACCACTCAGTAGAAATAAGGAGACCTCTGATATATAGCATGAGTAAAAACTGTACTGGAATATTGCCTTGATTTGTAGCAGCCACGCTTTTTAAATGAGAATGCTGACAAATTACACTTCAGACCAAAAGCTGTAAGAATTTAGATAGTGGGGAAAAAACTTGCCTACTGTAAAACTCTGGAAGCTAAATAAGCTTGATAAATTTTATTTCTCAAACTCTGTAGGTTAGTCTTTGACTTGTTCGTGGTCATTAAGTACCTATATGAAGAGTGGACTTGCCTTAGTAAAGAGTAATTTAGTCTAGGAGTGTAAATATATAGAGGATTCACAGGTTCAAAGCCGCAGCAGATAAAAGACTAGGTACAAGGCAGCAGGGAGCTTTGGGGATTTGGAGTGGTTTTTTGGTTCTTTTTACAGCACAGTCAACTGTTGGTACACCTAGATGATATGCTGGCTGCTTTACAAAACCAGCATAATTCTTTTTCCCGTGGATGTGTTTTAGCTCAGTTAGTGTGTTTTTTGCAGATGACACAGATTTGATGGGCTGCTGGACTGCTTTATGTTTCTGGTCAGGCTACATTACCAGAATGGCCTCTGTGGTTCTCAAATGATGGAATTCTCTCAGGTTTTTACGAGCATTAAGAAGCAACAAATATGGATATTCTAGCATATAAATAAACCTTGCTAAATTTCAACCCTGCGAGTTGATGTCAGTCAAGTCCTAACTAAAGGAGAGATGGAGGATGCACGTGTGCTTGGTTATTTTGATCCAGGAAGTCTTACTCTTACCTGTTATTAGCGTTCCTTGCAGTTTTCTCTGGAGAGCTGATGCTAGCATTTCTTGCTGACAGAAATAGTGGCCTGATCCAATGTGGTAATGCTTATATTCATCCAACTGATTGTGTTCGGAATAACTGTTAAAACTGCTAACCTGTTCATAAACCAAGTCACTTCCTCTGTCATGCGTTTGCCTTTCCTGCAGGAGCAGGTGGAGTATCACTGCTAAAACACTCCTGGTCCTAGATAGAGAACCCAGCAATGTAAGTCACTGCCCCAGGAGCCAAATTCTTTGTTATGTGGTTGTAAAAATTTAGCTTCAACAAACATGATCTTATGGCCTGCTTCTCCCTGCTGAAGTGGCTCCCCTCTTCCTCTAACAAGGGTCTCTATCTTCATACCTGCTCCCAGCGCTCTTGGAGACTACAGTAACTTTGTCCATTGGGAATGGAGTGTACTTTTCCTGGGGAAGACAGCAAGACTAAATTATTCAAGCAGTAGCTAACATGGCAAGATTTTTTTTTAATTTTATTTTATTTTTTAGTAATAGCATGCAGAATTTTGGCAAGATCTGCTGGGCTTTTTTTGCGTGTGTGTGCCTTACAATAGGTGGGTGTCTGAGGGTGGCAGGCTCTTGGCAGCATTTCACATTTCATCTGATAAGTAAAAAATAATAGTCAAAAGAATAGCTAGTGTTCCATACCTTCTTTTTCCTTAATGCTATGGGTAAGTCATGCACATCAGATCCATGAACATCACAGATGGTGGGGCTAATGCTTTTTAAAGCCTTGAGCAAGTTTGTGCGGAGCTATTGAGAGGACGAAGCAGGAGGAAATTCCTCAGTATGTGAAGCACACGCTGAACTCAAATTGGGTGGGGGGCATACCCTCTCTTCCTTCCTCATCCTTCCCCAACCCCTGTCCCCAGAGCGAGCTGCATAGTCTTAAGCTAGTGAATGCTCTGGTAAGAGCAGCTCTTTGGGAACCCCAGGCTCTGTTAAACAGTTTTCCTGCTTGAAGTTCTGAGAGAAAGAAAACTATGGCTTAAAGCAGAAAAAGCACCATCCCATGGAAACCCTTCCAGTTGCTCCTTTCTGCTACGGAATAGGTTGTTACTACCAGGGACTCCCACTGCACCTTTCAATTCTCGGACCTTGGACCAGTCACCTAACCTTTTTAGCTCATTATCTCTGCTTGTGAAAGCAATGCATTGTGGGTATTTTTGGTTTTTTCTTTTCAATTACATTTCTCTGTGTTTACTTTGATCAGAATTGATTGACTTGTTTTCCTGAGGTGTTGCATCGGTTCTTTAAGATGCTGAATAATAATACTTTGCATGCTTGTGTGATCAGCCAAATCTTATCGCATGTCTAATGTGCAGGGTAAAAGCAGGTGATGTATGGATGTCAGAAACAAAGTCATGCAGCCCTGTGAAGCCTGAAATATGTAATCAGGCACAAGTCTCTGAACCACACTTCCTGACATAGGTGATTCCAGCCCCCGTGGGATGCCTTCTGAGGGGCTCCTCAATTTCACAAACCCACTTCAGGAAGCCAATGTTTCCACGTGTTTAGGGGGTAACTAAAATCATTCCAGGAAAATAACCAAGAGTGGAGGTTTCTAAACCCTTGTTTCTCTTCTTCAGGACATCAGATCTTTTTGAGTCTATATTTATTGTACAAGATGGTGGTTCCCCTCCCTCTCTCCTTCGCATACTGTCTCCCCCTCTGCCCGCCCCTTCCCCTTTGCATGCCATGGAAGATGACTTGGAGCCGTCTAGCGTGCGTGCGCACACACATTCTCTTGCTGATTTGCTCCTGCCAAAAGCCCAGGTTGTGGATTCATACATCACCTGCCTGTGTAAAACGCATGTGCATGCTGCCGTCCTCAATAACCGGAATGTGTTTTCTGTTCTTTTGTTTTTTGTTTTTTTGTTTTTTTGTTTTTGTGTGGATTTTCTGCAGTGTGGTTTACCAGGACGGATTTTACGGTGCTGACCTCTATGTAAGTACACACACCAGAGCCTTCTCGTCCCCAACCCCTGACAAGCCAGCCTTTTTTTGTTTTGTTTTCTTTTTCTTTTGGTTTGTTTGTTTGGTTTGGTTTGTTTTTTTAAATATCATTTACTTTAATTTTCTTCTTCCTTGTGGATATATATATTTATATATTTAGGAATGCAAGCATGCTTCTCTGTCACTGCGCTTGCCCCTGGGTGCAAGACCTAAGCCTTTGGGTTTCCTGATCATTGCCAGGGTCAGTTCACTGGGTGTCCTGTCCCCCACACGCACACTGGTACTAATCAGCCTGAGAGACGACTAGCAAATTAAAATTTCTCTCAACACTTCTCTCATAATTTGAATATAAAAATAACAGGACTGGTTTAGCCTCAGACCTTCCCTTTCCTTCTCCCCCTTCACCCTCCCCTTTCTCTTCCCTCTTGGGGCCCTTTCAGGTTTGATTTGTGCAGCCCACACTAAACTGAGCAAGCTGTATGTTTAAAAATGTTCATGTGCCACTGGGATGTGGAGATTTTCCCTTTGGGGAAGACACTGGGACTGATTAAAAATGGAGACTGAGATGCTAGAGTGAAAACTGACATCTGATTTTGCTAGTAGAAATGGTACCTAAATAGGCCAGATTCTCTCATATCTTTGGGGAATTGTAGAGTACAAATATGTTGAGATGTTCGGTTACAAGAGTCAGCAGCCTCCTCCTGTCTGGGAATTAGGTGTAATACCATGGGAGACTTTGTCCTGTCATTGTCTTTGTCCTACCCAGTCAGTCTGTATTGCAAATCTCCAAGGCATCTCTGTTTACCTAGGTGGGTTGCAGATGGAGGTATTTGAACTGACCAGTGAGAAAAGTGGGAGGGGGAGAGCTGTTGCAGAGCAGGAATATGCCTTTCAAAGCAAATATGTTCAGGTTCACTACTGCCATTGCAACTTGTGGCCTGCCTAGCTCTAGTGGAGTTTCCTTTTGTGATATTGTAGGTCATAGCTCTTTGGAGCTGGGGAAGTTTTGTACTGGGTAGTGGCACAGTTGTCAGCATGAATTTCACATTCCCATTCCTTTGAAGGTGCTATTCCTGACATTTATAAAGAGGATCCTGGGGTTAGACTCAGGATAATAGATGGAACTAGCTTTTGGATTTTGTTGGCTTATGTAGAGGATCAAGTCTTGTAGAGGTGCTTTTCCCAGCCCGGGTACACTAGTTGGAAGATGTGCTCTCTGAGCACAGAGATACTGGGTGCATTTCTTCATTCTTACATATACTGTTGTGTGTGCAGTCCTTTAAAAATTGATCTGCCTAGTCAAGTGTTTCTTTATAAAACTGTGTCAAGGACAACAGAAGATTCTGGGTTTTCCTGCTTCACGCCTAAAACACTAGTTTTACCCACCACTGACTTTGCTACAGCAAGTAACCAAGAAAATGATTGATGCTTAGTGCCTCTTCCCTCAGTGTGGCGTATAAGAGTCTGCCACATTGAAAGGAAAGACTGGCCAGGGTTACTCCCTGCTTCTTTTGAGAAAGCTCCTTCAGAGCTTCTGTTGCAGGTGGGGAGAGAGGCTTAACATGTTTTAAGGACAGAGACTTCAGTAATGAAGAATACCCATAGTGACTTGGTGCTGCAGTGCACTACCATCACATAACACAAAAGCAAGCCCCCAAGTCAGGTTAGAACCATTAGGTGGACTTCTGATGACTGCTGTTTGTGGCTATGGTCTCTCTGTCAGAAAGCAGGCTGATAGAAGAGGGAACTCCATCAAGGTAGATGATGGTGCTTTTTCCTCTGTTATTGCTGCTCAAAGCCCTCCAGTGGAGCTCAGGAAAAAGTTATCATAATCCAAACTTGAAATTGCCTTTCCAAACAATTTCTTTGTCACAGGTGGAATGATTGCAGTGTCCCTGTGCCCCACTGATTTGTCGTGCTTTTCACTGCAGTGCTTCCATCCCTCTGGTTGGTGTGATAGACTTGTCCAGATTCTGGAAGGGATGGCAGAGGATACTTCAGTTAGGACTGGGGGAAGTTAAACTGAGGTTCTCTTAGGACGTCTGAGCCCATAGGGTTGTGTGAAGGAAGGGTAGAAAAAGGAGCTAAACTGGCAGGGAGTGGTTAGTCATAGACAAGATGAAAGGGAAGTGTCCCAAGTTTGGGCTGCTTTTTCTGCATATATGCTACGCACCAATTTCTCATTTTCCTCCTCCTCCTTTTCCTCACTCCTTTTTTCTTTCCTGGGGCAACCATCCTGCTAGCCATTTCTTCTATGAAGAAGGCATTCCATCTGTTGTTGGATGCGTCCCACTCTGGCAAGACACCTGAATTGATAAAACAACCTGCCCCAGGATGCAGAGGGCTTCATTTCGGATCATAAGAAAGGTTATCTTTCTTCTACAATGGGGTCAATCTGGGTGGTGGGGGGGAAACCCAAACAAACCCACCCATGCGAAGACCGCTCCTGCCTGTGAAAAGCGTGCTTGCATCCACTGGAAAGAAAAGGCTGGTGAGCCCCGCTGCGGGCTGTTTGTATGATTGTTTCTTTCCACAGCTGTGTTTTTTTGAACTGCTCTTCCTGTGTTCTGTTATAGAATAGTCTTACAGGAACCAATCATTAGCGCTAAAATACCTCAGGTAGGAGTGCCAGTGTGACCTGCCAACCAATCAGATTGTGGATTGCAGTGGAACAAACTGAATTATACTAACCATTCCAGCACCACATTAGAGATGGGAACAGAGGCTTTTTTAGGGCAGCGCAGACTCACGTGTGATCCAAGCCCCCGCTGTAGCAGGGTGGCGTGTGTCCAGATTTCATACTGAGTGGCATTTCATTCAAAATAAAAAAAACCAAACCAAAACAACAAAAACTAAAAAAAACCAACAAAACATAAATTCAGTGGAAGGGTTAACAAGGTCATGCTTATCCCATTACCATGTTAGAAGCACCTGCTGCAATGGACACCGTTGTCCTGTCACCTCTTTTAATTCATTCATGCTCATTCCTGGTGCACATATGCCACCCTTCTAATACAGAAATACCAGAAGGGGTTCTAGCCCTTTCTACTTCTTAAATTCTGTTATATGGCAGTTTGGGGGTGGAGAAGACACATTTGAGAGATGACAAATAGAAGATCCTAAAATTGGGCTCACCGCCTAAACTTGGCAGGTGGTCGAACGTATCTAACTGGTACCATGAGTTACACATTTCTCCAGGGTTACATGTGTGCTTGTGCCTTAGGGGTATTAAGGCTCTTTGAAGTAAAGAGGGCCAGCAACATACTTTTTGTGTGCCTGTCTAAGGCAGGAAGGGGGAAAAAAAAAAAAAGGGAGGCTTATACCATAGGATACACTGGCATAGTAAGCTGTAGTGTTGGATTTCCTCCAGCTCTCTTTGGATTGATCACCTAATATGGACCTGAAGAGTGGAAGAGAAGATGGACTTATTTTGAGCTGAATTCCATTGTGCTCATTTATTTACATTAACATGCTCAGTAATTGGAATGCTGCTTTAGTTGGGATTGCAGCTTCCTGTGTATGTTGTTCCTCCACGTTTGTATTATTTCAGAGAATATAAGACAGTACTGAAAAAGCTGTCATCTAACATTAAAGAAGGAATTAAAAAAAAAATTGCTTTGTTGATGAGCCAAGGACAATAACATTGCAGAAGAGTCATTTTGAATTTGGGCTTTTGTGAATACCTGACTAATACAGGCAGTGAGGTCTGAAGGCTCAAGTACTACATGGGGAAAGGGTTCAGCATAGTCCCAGCAACACTGGCCAGATAGCCAGAGAAAGAGAACTTTGAATTAATATAAGCAACATCTAGGCTTGTGTTCCTCTCTCACATGTTCCCCGGACAATCCAAAAGTCTGTATAATCTTGATTTACACAGTCCTTTTGGTTGTTACTGCCCAGTAAAAATGCATAAGCCTTCTCATTAGTTCCTGTTTCCTTGTGGAGGCAGTGATTAAACTGTCCCAGTGATGGAAAGGTCTCTGACTTAACATCTTTGCAAGAAGCTCAGACAGATTCATCTCTTTTGAGATGAGGCTAAAGATTTTAAAAAACTGAACCTAGGTGGGTAACCTGTCCCTGTGGAATCAAATAGATTGGAGTGGGAGTTTGCATGGCTGTCCTGGGTTTCAGGCACTCTGTCACTCAGTGGTGTCTTCTGTTGCAGTTTGGCTGTGTGGCGCTGGAGGAAAGTGGGGAAGTTAGCAAGGACCTTTTTTTTTTTTTTTAAATAATTATTTATTTAATTGGGAAACGTGATTGTTCCTCTTTATTGCAGATGCTCTACTCTGTTATCGTTTATATTTACTATAGTACTGGAGTGTCACTGAAGCGAGTGACACCAGAAATCACTAGGAGTTTTAGGACTGTGCAGCTGAGGTTACGGATGAGCTCTGCATATCAGTTAAAAGTTCTGTGTGAACAGGAAGAGCGGGAGAAAATATCTGGTGCATTGGACAAACTGAGCAGGGCTTTAGATGCATTTATGGAATTATGTAGGTGGGCACTGGGTTATGGAGAACAGGAGCATCAGCTGGATGAGGCAACCTGTACAGTGCCTGCTTTGCTCTGTACAGGTCCCAGAGCTTGGTGAAAGGATTTATGAAATAATGAATAATAGTTGCAATAGTTCCTCCTCTTTCCTTCACCCTGTTTTGGTGTATTTGGACCTGCTGGTCATGCTAAATACATCCCTGTATCAGAAATCTCCCAGCTGTCCCCACTCATTGCTCCTATGACAGGAATGCACCATGGCCATTATAATCCCCATTTTTGGTTTTATTTGAAGTACACATAAGTAGATTTTGCAGATCGCTTTGAACTGAGCAGGTCTGCCTGTACGTGTGTACCTCTATCCTGAGATTTTTTTGGTTTTTTTCCTTTTTTAAATAACCAGTAGCTTCAATTTTGCATCAGTGCATGGTTAAAAAGCAGTACACGTCAGCTATTTCTTAACTTCATTTCTCCAATGAATTATTTCTCCTGTTTTTTTTTTTTCTTTTTGTTTGTTGTGCAGTTGACTGAAGAAATGTTAACATCCCGCTCTAAATCTCTCAGTGGAGTCTCTGTTCCCTTCTCTGATATAACAGATGGGTTATTGCTTGTTATAATTATTAACATTGTGGTGTGGGACAGGGCTAGGGTGGGAGCCATTTTGGGGGGCGAGGGTGGGAGGCTGCGGGAGTTGTTAAGGTTGGAATGTTAACTCCAGTGGTGACTGACTGTTTCCGTAATAGCAGGTTGTTGTGGCTGCACGCTCTAGTACTTGAGGCTGTGTACTTCACTGAGCTTGTGGTAGAGCCTAGGGCGAACTGCTGTCCCAAGAGAATGCTGGGATGGATAGAACTAGCCAATATGAGTCTGAACGTGGTGACTTTGCTGGTTGTTCTAGCTCCAGATGTCAGCATGCTTAGTTTTTAATTTTGATTAATAAATGTTACACCATTCCCCCCCCGATTCCAACCCTTCTTTTCTTCTTCTTCTTTTTGTTTTGTTTTGTTTTGTTTTGATTTGTTTTTGTTTCGTTTTCCTTTATGAGAGACATGAGTTAAAAGATAATTACATGATAAGCCTTTTTGGTTTCAAACTGCATCTTGCTGTCATGTTCAGAGTATGTGCCAGGCACATTTGAAGTGGCTTCTGATCAGAAATGTGACTGGCAAGTGTGGGGCAGGGTGGGAATCAGGGTGCATGCTGAAGTCAGCTGCCCTGCAGAGGGTGGTGCCAGGAGAAAGTGCCTCTTAGCTGTGCCCAAGTAACAGATCAAGGGTTCAGGAAGCTGATAAACCTAAGGGAATAACTCAATAACAATGATATAAAGTCTTGTTTTAATTTGGTGAGATTGCTGAAGGTTTGGTTTGGATTAAGGCTGCGCCTCATTGCGGTTGCCTCCATCATGTTTTGGTGGTGGAAATAATGGTGCAGTGATACCATGGCAAAACCAAGCTAAGGATCCCCAAACCATCAATCCACAATGCAGAGTTTGAAACAGCCAGGTGAGATTAAAAGGGCAAAACTGCAACGTGACACCTCTTCCAGGTCACGTGGTGATGTTTCACAGGTGTAGATATGGGTTGCTTTTTCTTCTGTTAACTAGAAAATTGAAGAGGCTGCAGGTCCCTCTCCTCTGGAGTAGGAAAGGGTCTGCAAACGTTTTCGATAGCATGTTAGCCTTCATGGGACTAACACAGGCCCCACAAAAGCAACCAAAATAAGTTTAAAATCATAACTTCTAATTTAAAAACTACCTAGCCCCAAACTGAGCACTGCTGAGCAAACACAGTTCTGTGGTAGAGCTGATCTTGTACTCTTAGTTACATATGTGCAAAGGATAAATAAGTGGTAGAGGTATGTTGAGCTGATTCTGGAGGTGAAGACCATAACTCTGCCTTCTGCTCCTTCAAACCCTGAAATGTCATTTGGAATTAAAAAAGAAAAGAAAAGGCCAGAAACAATCTGGAATTTTCTGATTTTTTTTTTTTAATAGCTCATTGTGTTTCAAGCAAGTCAAAGCCATGGTTCATTTACCATTCCCCCTTCCCCTGTAAATTAACAAAAATGTGTTCAGAAGTGTCCAGTAAGGAAAGACCTAACCACGGCTTCAGAGTCCCCTTTGCTTCCTGCTGTGCCACCTTTGCCCCTGGTCTGAAAGGTGGCTGGCCTTGACCCTTCAGTACTGCAGGGTGTGCAGAGCCTGGGCCAAGCCTTGCTCTGCCCCAGGAGCTCCTTGTGGGAGTTCCAGAAGACTCACAGGTCTTTCTCTGAGTCAGGATTCATGTTTTGCCAACACAGCTGTAAGCACATTTTTAGTAACTACCTCTGCTCAATGTAAACCCCTTTGCTACAGTGTGTCGCACGGGCAGAAAAGCAGCAGCAGTACAGACTACTCTGGAATAATTTCCCTTGACCTGTGTCCTTTTCATATGGAGGGGAAGGTAGAACAGTCTGATTGGCTTCCTTGTCAGTTTGCTTGTTGACAGCCCTGAACCCACTAGAGACTGTCTTCTCTGACCGTCTTTTCCTGACTACTCTTTGGCTTCTCTGGCTATTGGTACTTTTGCACATGTGGACTAAATTAAATTCTAGGCTTAAAAAAAGAGAGGTAAAAAATAATAATAAATAAATGCAGGAATTTCTCATAATGGTCCCCTTTCTAAAATACACACTTCACAGAAAGTGTCCACCTCTAATTTCTCCAGCTTAAGAGGAAGGGACCATTAAAATTACGTTACATGGAAGATTTCAGGTCTATTCTGGTTTTCAGTTCCTCCATGCCAAATTGCATTTTCTGCAGGGTTATAACCATGCTTAGTCTTCTTCAGTATATTTTTTCTGCTAAACAGAGTAGTGGAAGAGCCTCCCTGGTCCCTCTAAGGAAAGGAATATACATGAGTTAATGGGTGATGCTTGTGATAGACAAGACATGGGAGCTGATGCAGTTTGAAATACTTCCTCTCCTTGTGATGTGTGTGACTTTTATTTAATTTTCTTTTTTTTATGCTCTGCGTGGGTGGACAGGTATCTGTAAAGTCAGTTCTCTTCTCTCCTGCAGGGTGGATACGCAGCCTACAGATATGCACAGCCTGCTACTGCAACAGCAGCCACGGCCGCTGCAGCCGCTGCAGCAGCTTACAGCGATGGGTATGTAAGGGACAGGTGTCCATGGGGGTTAGCTTGCTGTGCTCAGGGATTCAAGGAGCATCGATCCATTACAGAACTTCTACTTCTTTCCCCCATTTTTTGGTCTTTCTTGCACTCGCATGCGCACACATGCATGGACAACCCAACATGAAAGACTTGAATGCACGGTTTGTCTCTACTCCCAGACGGTATTGCACTCCGGTGTATGTGAGCTGGCACAAATCCTAGCCTCTTCCCTATCCTTGTGATTCTCTGCACAAAGGAGGCAGTGCGGTTACAGCCTCAGAGTCAGAGATCTGGCTTTTCTTGCTCTGTGACTCTGGGCAGGTTGCTTAATCACTGGGTGCGTTTCTTTCCCCATCCATAAAGTAAAAATGACTCAGCTCATGCAGTGCTCTAGGATGCTGTAACATGCAGCTCTGAATAGATACAAAGGATTGTCATCATCAGAGTGCTTGCCTTAAGATTTTTCATCTCCTGTGCAGTGAGGTCGTGTTTTAATCCTAGCAAATGCGAGACCATTAAAGTTTATGCTCTCTTTTCATTATGGAGAATCCCTCACTGCTTTCCATGTAGCAGCTGTTACCATGCCAGTAGCGCTAGCACCAGCAGTCACTCTCCTCCCAAATTGCATCACGTGAGGTAAGGGATATACTAGCTGTCATTTCAAAGGCGATGACCTCTTCCCTACAGGTCAAGCTCATGGCTTCTACCATATCCCTCCATGCAGGCCGTTCTCTTGCCCATCTCATACCGATGCATGGCAACATGCCCATTGGTTCTCTTCACAGAGAGGCTGCCTGCGTGCCTGTGTGTGCATGTGTGCATACATGTGTGTGGAAGGGCATGCTGCTTCTTCCATTACCTGTGGTCAGACAGCTATTTCTCTGCCCCTCCCGAGTGACTTTTTTTTTTTTTCTTTTTATATCTTTTCTCCCTCTCTTCAGTTATGGCAGGGTGTACACAGCAGATCCTTACCATGCCCTTGCCCCTGCCGCTAGCTACGGAGTTGGCGCTGTGGTAAGTGGGATTTTCTTTCTTGTGCTGTTTCTCATTTCCAGCGTGGGGAACAGCTGTTCACTGGGTACAAGGCAATGAAACTTCACCCAGAAAGACTTTTGTGTTGAGAGAGGAGGTCCTTAGCTGCAGTGCTGGGTTCCCAGTTGTTCTGCATTCATATGTGTGTGTGCACTAGGAAAGGAACCAGGTTGTAGGAGGCCAGTTATTACTTGGTCTTGCACATCAGCTAGTACAATGAAAAACAAAAATTGAAACTGACCAGAAGTGCCAGGAGCCAGAACTCTGCTGGTGAATCAGTAGAACTGTATCAAAGTGATATAGAGAGCAAAAATCGGCAATAGTTTGAGATTCAAGACGCCCTTTTGTGCCATTTCAGTTGTAGGAAGCAAGGGAATAAGTTGTTCTTGTGACATCTTGCAGCAAAGCTGCTTCACTTGGTTCCCTCTTCCACTAGTGGAAGGATGCGGTGTCCTGCCTGCCAGCAGTAGTTACGCAAGGGTAGGAATGAGGTATGCTGGCATCAGAGACGAGTGGAGCAGCTTGGTGAAAACACACGCTTGCCCATCTGCTAGCCAGCGCAGTAGCTAAGTTGTTGCAGAAGCTGGAATACAAATGTGTTCAGAGAAGAAGACACCTAAAAATAGATAACTGCAGTGTAGCACCTCTGTTTCAGCCTCAGCTCATCATGTGGATTCTCTTTAGGGTCAGTGAGGGAAAAGCAGGTGATTCTAGGGTACCTGGTCATCATATCACCCTAAGGTGAGGTAAAGAGCATCCTAGAAGTCTTGGTGTCTGCTATCTATCTATAAAGGCAACCTAAAAATGTAGCTTGAGATTAAGACTCGTGAATCTCCTCTCTGGTACTGAGCTCCCTTCCACTAAGACTTGCCAAACTTCACCTCCAGCTTGGCTGGCCATGAGCATGTTCTCCTGAGCCACGTCTTTGGATTTGCAGACGGAGTTCTCTCTTGCTTCTTAGAGGTGCTGATGGTGGTGGGCCAGTGCCAGGACAGGTCCATTGGTCCTTCCAAAAGCATTTGGGTGCTGTCCTAGGTATCACTTCACAGTTCTCCTAACAACCTTTTCTTCTCCCATTTCATTTCTACAGGCGAGTTTATACCGAGGTGGCTACAGCCGATTTGCCCCCTACTGAAGTGACGTGAGCCCCCTGCAAGTGGGACAGCCCCCCCAAGTCATGAGGCCTGGCTATTGCAATATTTACTAGTAGAGGAACTCTATAGCAAGTTGAGGAGGAAAAACAAAAAAACAAAAGAGAAAATACTTTTTTATACCTCACTATGTTCTTTGAATATGTATTTTTTTTCCTTTAAATTTCTGCCTTTAATTCTTTTGTTCCAAAGATTGTGCTTTTTTTTTTTGTTTTGTTTTGGTTTTTGTTTTCATTTTTGGGGTTTTTTTTAAACTGTGGTAAAAATAATGCATTTCCGTGTCTGTATGTTGGTGCATAGCTTATCCTACCAATCACGGAAAAGGCAATTAGTGATAAGGAAAGCGGTTAGAAACTGATATCATGCAATTAATCAGGAACACGCAGACAGAGTTACTTCCCTGGGTCTGGTGCTTGGTGCCTGTGAGACGGAAGGACGTGAGGGAGAAGTCTCCACCTGCCGTGTTTCTGGTCTGCAGAAGGAAGCACTCTTTGGCTGCGGCTGGGACCTAAATGCTGGTGGGAAATAGTCATTTACATTTGGAAATGGGGGAAATGCAGAGACTTTCCTCGTTCCTGTCATCATCTGACACGCACAGGTTTGGGACAGCTTCAGCAGTGTCAGAATTTTAGACTTCACAAGAGAAGAGTCCCTCAACCTGCTCTAAGACTTCTGCTGTTATCTGCTGTATAGGAGACAAGACTTTGGAAGAAGTTTTTGATGAGGATGACCTTTCCCCCACACACAGAACTTTTACTAGCTGATTGTTGTCCATTGCTGGTGGCTATAATTATCTTAGTTTTCATTCCTTCTTTTCAAGATCTTTCTCCCTTGCTGTCCTGTTCCTTGAGAAGTGGCAGATGCAGTGCAGGATCAGGCAGAGTACCTCTGCTGCAGACAGCAAGTGGTTAAACTTGCAGAGGTGAAGCATGTGCAGCCTTGCAGAGGAAGAAAGTTAGCAGAAGAGTCGAGCATGGCAGATGCTCTGAGGCCCAGCGTGCAAGGTCTCTGCTCCTGTTCATCCTGAGCTGCTTAGGTGCTTCTGCAAGTAATCTATTTCAAACAACATGAGTAAGGTAAAAACAGTCATGTATAAGCTACTTGAGGTGAGGGACAAGCATGTGGGTTTGTGTGGGGGAAGAGGATCTTTTATATCTAAATGTGATCCTGAAGTGGTTTTGTTTCTGGCAGAAGCAGTTTGTGCAAGCTCTGAATTCATAGGAACTTCCTACCACAAGCTCTGTCAGGCCCTTACATAGCTGCATTGGAGCCCCTGGGTTTGTTTTGCCCAACCTCTCGTAGAAAGTTGTGCACCTGGTCTGCTGAGTCCATATAGACACTACATATTAGAACAAGCATAGAGACTATTTCGCAGAAGGCTCCACAACTCCCAAGACCCTCTCCCTTCTGCTCCCACATACATCAAATTCGCTGTGTTTCAAAGATAACATTTAGATGACAGTGTGAGCTGTGGTGTGATGGGGAGTTGCTGCTCTCCAGACCTTCCTGCTCAGCTGCCGGCTCTTGGAGTGCTCCCAGTAACCCCAGTGGTTAGAGGCAGGGCTCTCACCACCTGGTAGAGAGGTGCAGAACCCTAATTTTATTAGGCTGCCTCGACTCCATCAGTTGGTGCTGGGGTGAGCCACTGCCCCTAGAAGGGCGGCTTGGAGTGTGGGTTTGTTGGTGAAGCCTTTCCAAGTCCTGTTGTACACGTGCTTCTCCATCCACCACTGATACAGAATAGGAAACTTCCTGCATTTAACACTAAGCAACATCAGCAAGTGGAGGTTCCGCTCCCGGGGAGGTGTCCTGGCCCAGCCACATGCAACCACACGTGTTTTTAGCTCTTCCCCAGTGACACATGGAGCCTCTCTGTGCACAGCACCTCTAATGGGAAGAATGGGGAAACCATTAGTTAAGCTAGAGATGCTGAAGCAATTGGTTCTATGGAGGAATAGACAGATAAAGAGGACACCAAACTGCCAGCCTGTTGGCCACTTTTTTTTTCCTGGTTTTATTGTTGGTTTTTTACTTTTTTTTCCCCCAAGCCAAAGTTTGGTTTGTTGCTGTTATGACAATTTTTTTGTTGTTTGTATATAAATATTTTAGCTTGAAAATGGGGAGGGGGGAACAGGGTGTTGGGGCTTTCACAAAATCTAGGAAATGAGAGGGACTCGGAGTGTTTTGGGGCTTTTACTGCCTGAGTTGGGGTAGAAGAGGGAGGACTTGTGGTACAAATAGTTATATTCAAGGGGAGCCATTTCCACTGAAGGGCAGCTGGGGTACTTGAGGAGCTGGGATGCAGCAAAAGCCTCTACTGGACTTGTTCTACCGCTGTAAATGGAGGGCCTGAGTGAGGCCATCCCTTCCCGTGCCCGCAGGCAGTTCCTCAGGCAGCAGGTCTGCAGGCTGTGGGCAGAGGAGCGCAGCTTGCAGAGCACCCCTGGGGACGCTGCTCCCTCCCCCCCCCTTCCCCCGCTGCTGCCCCTCTCCTGCGTTCAGTTCAGCTGGTTCTGACTGCGGCTCCTGAAAAGCTGGATTCTCTCTCCCTGAGTGCCCTCCCCTGCCCCGGCAGTGCTGCCTGCAATCCCCGCCTGCCACTTGGCCTCTCTGGAAGCAGGGAGGCCAGCCCCATTTCTGCCTCTGGGCAGAGTCTATGCATGGCAGCTTCAACCCGCCCGGGTATATTTTAGGAATGTGAGGGGGTTAGTGCAGA